GCCTGACCCCATCCCTGGCATTTAAGAGTTATTTAAGTGTTTAATAAGGGTGTCTTAGTCAGGRCTCATCTCCCAAGCAGCTGTGCAGTGTTTGTTAGCAAGCCACGCTGTCTAACCCAAATTTTCAGTGTTGAAGGTAACGCTCAGGGCTCCGAGAGCCTGCCAGGATAACACCAGGCACTGGCTGAAACCTCCCACATCCARACAGGAACAGTCAGTAGTGGCCCAAAACAGCCAAGTGCACCAGGCAGCTACAGGGACTGTCCAAATGGGAAGGGCAGACAACATTTTTCCTAATAAAGCCCGATAGGATGTCTGAAAAGGGCCTTAGCCCTTTGTTAAGCTTCAGAAACCAGGCAAGAAAGTTCCAGGAATGTGAGTCATCCCACAGGATGGGTCACGGTGGACATTCAGGATGTGCACTTTTAAAGAGGTGAAGGTGCAGCGTGTGTACAGACGAGCAGTGCAGAAGGGCCAAGTTATCCCCCAGGGGAACACACACATTGTAATTGATTATGGMAGGCTTCCTACATCCTTTGGAAGACAGATGATGTGCATGGTCTTCCAAGAAGCCRATGAGCTCTCAAACTGCTCTGAAAGCAAGGGAAACAGAAAAGAGCAGGGGGGAAGAAAAGGAGCTGATTACACAGTAGCCAAATTTCACCACCTCACACTTCCAACAAGCAGACACAGATGTACAAGTGAAAACACTGACTCTGGAGACTGATGTATAAAAAACTCCACATGTTGGACTTTCAGAGCCTCCAAAATATGTAAACGCACCTCAGGCTTGTTTCTGTAAACATACTGCCACAAAAAGCAGTCAGAATTTCAGCAGTATGGAAATAAAGTCCTTACCACTAGGATGCTGTTCTTTTGGCCATTACAGAGGCAGGAGAASGGCACTGAAAAACCCTGCAGCTGCCTTGCCAAAAGGAATTCTTTGTGGGTGCTTTTTTTTCTGAGAGCATCTGTGTTCAAATAATACYTTCTTAGCAGTGAGGTGATAGCTACTCCTTTAAAAGAAACTTCATTAACAGTCTAGAAGCAGCTTAGTTGTCTATTTTATTCAGAATCTTTTTTCCAACCGTGCCTGCAATTTTACAACTGCAGGTCAACTCCTCTCCGTGGAGCAGCTCAGAAATCTTGCATAATAAACATTTCAGGCTGTGATTCTAGTTTGTTATTGTTAAAACACTGAGGGCATTAACAGTAACTTGACAAAGAGTTCTTCAGGCCAAGAGGTGAGGAAGACTGTCACGGAAAATGTGAAGCTTCATGAAAAAAAAAAAAAAAGGTGAGAAGATGTAAAAAGCTTTATTACAGCAACGACGTGGGCTATCCAGAGCTTGGAAGTTGTTGGCACCGCCGCGGCCCCAGCGCGCTGCGCAGATCCCGCGGCCAACCTCCATCTCCACTTCCTGTCATCTGATGTGAATGCGAGACAAACCTGCAGCTCCCCCATTTCCTTTTCCTCCTCTCTTCCTCCTGGCACCCCGAGYGCTATTCAGACGCAGGCAAGGCTTCCTCTGAACAATGCTGTCCCAAGGATCCCGCACGGGGACCGGGCCACATGCAAAAACTATTATTGCGAGGAATTCTGCCCCACTGGGACTCAGTGGGGGTCTGTAACAACAACCTGTGCACACATTGTTTTCTAGGTGAGACTCATCGAGATGGGATCCTCGACAAGCAGCACAACAGCTGAGGAAGTTGAACACCCGCTCCTTCATACCCGTGGAAAATGAATGGTCATTGAAAGGCTACGGGAAAGCAGGGAATGCAAACCAGAGAGCTGAAAATGAAATCTCTGCCAAAATCCGAAACGCTGAAAAGTCTCAAAAGGCTTTACAAACAGGAATGGGCAGAGGAGGCAATTCTACCCCACCTGCCATGCAGAGACGTAACCAAGCTACGTGGTTTTGCCCCATGGGAGCACTGAGGGGTGGTGAGATCCCACAGCTGAGCCACAGCACAGGGCACAAACGCTGCTCCAGACAATGTCCACGGTGATGGTGGTGACACCAACCCACAACCTGCTGCTCTCCTCATGCCATGCCAGGCCAGAGCCCTCTGGAGGGCCCAGAGACACCATCCTATGTCACAAGCAGCTGTGAGGTGCCCTGTGCCAGCTCCCATCCTTCCAGCTGCCAGGAACAYGCTCAGGAGATCCCTAACACCACCYRCKTCCACAGGCAGACAGCCCTTTCAGGATGCTGGATAAAAGAAGTCACCCCAAATACTACCAGCAAGGAGGAATGGCCAGCTGAAGTGCCACCAAAACACAGTGCACAGGGATGTCAGCACTCCCAGCTGTGTCACAGTYACTCAGGGTGTGCAATAACCTCCCTAAAGCATCAGCTCCCAGGCTGCAATTTGTGGGCAGCCCCTACATTTATAAATGCCTGTTCCTGCAGCTTGTATAYGTTACCTATTAACTCCCCAGCATTTGATTGCAGCTATAGTTTGCTCTGTAAATGGAAGTCTTGGATTGAYTCAAGACTTTCTGATCTCATTTCTGCTCGAGAGTGTCAGAACCACTTATTAACTCTGCCAACAACTCAATCAACCTTACGCTGTCTCAAACAAATCCAATGTAGAATTAAGAAAAGCAACTCTTTAAAAAACAGATAGAYGCAGCAAATGGAGAAACATTTCATTTTCAGGGGGTTGATTTAGTCATGAGTAGTAACCTCAACAGGGATAACTCAGAGGAACAACTAGAAGTAAAGATGTAAGCCCTTAGTGTAAGGGTCAAGATGATTTACAGAAACTTACTGACCACACACTTTCCCTACAGTGACAATGTGTTAAAAGGAACTTCCTCTTCTTTTAATCACGAGGAAATGGAGATACAATATCATTTGCAGGAGAGAAGAGCCATTTTAAAGCTGAGATAAGCAGACTACCAGGCACTGTCACTCATCACTAAGCAAACTTTAAACACTCAGGAGCATGGAAGCACTCTAGTTTGAGAACCCTGAAGAAACCACCAAACTCGCTTCATCCAAGTGATGAAAACATTAAATTTTGCCATTTATCTGGCTAAGATTAGAAGGAACAACCAACACTGAAAGGGTTTTTAACACCACCAAGGATCTCTCTCTGGGAAGTGAAAGATCCAACGCACTTCCACTCCTCCCCTCACAGTAACCCAGTTCCTGAATCCCTACAGACCCAGCAAACACCACTCARTAATTCCTATATCTAATTTTACGTGGTCAGTGAATGTGGACAAACCAGACACAAGTGGTAATTAATGCAGAAACCTCCCCAAAGCTGARTGGCTGAAATCACAATGCATTAATGATTCCATTTAGAGGCTATTAGGGAGCTGCTCTGCTCAGATGAACCACACTCAGAACAAAACCCCAGCACCTGCACACGCACAAAAAGAACCAGGAAGAAAAAGTATTCCACAACAGACACACACAATAGTTAATCAAAAATGCTTGTTTGTTATGAGCGTGTAAAGCCCACATTGTTTGGGCTTGCTTTCTGTTTTATACAACCTAGTGATTTCCCAGCCCACTATCCAAATATTGGGCAGCACACTGWACTCCCTTGACAATTTAGCTGTTCAGATGTTATGCTTGCTCAGGAGATAATTACCCGTAGCCCAGAGAAAACACAAAATGCTCACACACGTTTGATTCATGCACTTAGCCACCACAGCAGCCAGTTCCACCATCCCCACCTCCTCATCATCCGCCACTCCAGCCACTCTCCTCTGCTTAACTCACCCCCAACAAAACACCAAAACAAGGCTCTTGYTTGAAACAAATCCCAGGCTGGCAGATCTCCCCTGCCCACCCTCATTTCTCCACAAACCTCAACCACTTTGGGTTACGATTTCCAGGGCTGTGCCTTGTTTTACCACTGTTTGGACCACTGTCACCCTGAAAGTCTCCAACCTGATATTCTGCATTTGCCTACTTTAGAGAACAAGGATTTTCAATCTGCTCGGGTGGGCGACTGTCAGCCCTCACTGCAGGGCAGAGGGGAGCTGGGAGTGCTGCCTGCGGGCACGGGAACACTCCCGACAGCCC